TCACTGACAGAGTTGTTCCTCAGGATAGTTCTTGAAATGTTCTTTTTGACTATGAATGCAACACCATTCCTTTTCAATTTGTCATTCCTGACATGGTGGACCATATGATTATCTGATTCAAAAAAACCAAGACCAGTCCATTTCAGTTAACTAATGCCTGAGATATCTGTCTTTATGTGGTCCATTTCTTTTTTTTATTGTAGTTTAACTGAAAGTTTACAATTCAAGTTAGTCTCTCATACAAAAATTTGTACATACATTGTTATGTGACCCTAATTGCTCTCCCTATACTGTGACAGCACACTCTTCCTTTCCACCCCTGATTTCCCGTGTCCATTCAACCAGCTCCTAACCCTCTCTGCCTTCTCATCTCACCTCCAGACAGAAGCTGCCTATTTAGTCTCATGTATCTACTTGAGCTAAGAAGCACACTCTTCACGAGTATCATCTGATGTCCCATAGTCCAGACGGATCTTTGTCTGAAGAGTTGGCCTCAGGAATTGTTTTAGTTCTGGGTTGACAGAGAGTCCGAGGGCCATGCTTTCTGGGATTCCTCCAGTCTCAGACCATTAAGTCTGGTCTTTTTACTAGAGTTTGAGTTCTGCATCCCACCCTTCCCCTGCTCCATCAGGGACTCTCTGTTGTGTTCCCTGTTAGGGCAGTTGGTGGTGGTAGCTGGGCCCCATCTAGTTCTTCTGGTCTCACGCTGATGAAGTCTCTGGTCTATGTGGCCCTTTCTTTCTCTTGGGCTAATGCTTTTTTTGTGTCTTTGGTTTTCTTCATTCTCCTTTCCTCCAGGTGGTTGGGACCAATTGATGCATCTCAGATGGCTGCTTGCTAGCTTTTAAGACCCCAGACGCCACTCACCAAAGTAGGATGCAGAATGTTTTCTTAATAAACTTTGTTATGCCAATTGACCTAGCTGTCCCCTGAAAGCATGGTCCTCAGGCCCCCGCCCCGTCTGCTCTGTCCCTCAAAGTGTTTGACCGTATTCAGGAAACTTCTTAGCTTTGGTTTAGTCCTGTTGTGCTGCCTTCCCCTGTAATGTGTGCTATCCTTCCCTTCACCTAAGTTAATTCTTGTCTACTGTCTAGTTAGTGAATAACCCTCACCCTCCCTTCCCACCCTCGTAACCATCAAAGAATGTTTTCTTCTGTGTTTAAGCCTTTTCTTGAGTTCTTATAATAGTGGTCTTATACAATATTTGTCCTTCTGTGACTGACTAAATTCACTCAGCATAATGCCTTCCAGATTTCTCTATGTTACGTTTCACGACTTCATCATTGTTCTTTATCGTTGCATAGTATTCCATTGTGTGAATACACCATAATTTGTTTATCCATTCATCTGTTGATGGGCACCTAGGTTGTTTCCATCTTTTTGTTATTGTGAACAGTGGTGCAGTGAACATGGGTGTGCATATATCTGTTCGTGTGACGGCTCTTATTTCTCTAGGATATATTCCTAGGAGTGGGATTGCTGGATTGTGTGGTATTTCTATTTCTAGCTTTTTAAGGAAGCGCCAAATCGATTTCCAAAGTGGTTGTACCATTTTACATTCCCACCAGCAGAGTATAAGTGTGCCAGTCTCTCCACAACCTCTCCAGCATTTATTATTTTGTGTTTTTTGGATTAATGCTAGCCTTGTTGGGGTGAGACAGTATCTCATTGTAGTTTTGATTTGCATTTCTCTAATGGCTAATGATCGTGAACATTTCTTCATGTGTCTGTTAGCCACCTGAATGTCTTCTTTGGCGAAGTGCCTGTTCATATCCTTTGTCCATTTTTTAATTGGGTTATTTGTCTTTTTGTTATTGAGGTTTTGCAGCATCTTGTAGATTTTAGAGTTTAGATGCTGATCAGATTTGTTGTAGCCCAAAATTTTTTCCCAGTCTGTAGGTTGTCTTTTGACTCTTTTGGTGAAGTCTTTTGATGAGCATAAGTGTTTGATTTTTAGGAGCTCCCAGTTATCTAGTCTCTCTTCTGGTGCCTGTGCATTGTTACTTATGGTTCGTATTCTGTTTATGCCATGCATTAGGACTCTTAGCATTGTCCCTATTATTTCTTCCATGATCTTTATTGTTCTCAATTTTACATGTAGGTCTTTGATCCATTTTCAGGTAGTTTTTGTGAATGGTGTGAGGTATGGGTCCTGTTTCAGTTTTTTGAACGTGGATATCCAGTTATGCCAGCACCATTTATTAAAGAGACTGTCTTTTCCCCAGTTAATGGACTTTGGGCCTTTGTCAAATATCAGCTGCTCATAGGTGGTTGAATTTATGTTTCCATTTCATTTTTAATGACTTCCAATTTTCCTAGGTTCATGCTTTGTACCTTCCACGCTCTGATTATTAACGGATGTTTGCAGCTGTTTCTTCTCATTTTGAGTTATGCCACATCAGTAGATGAAGGCCCTGAAAGCTTGACTCCGTCCATGTCATTAAAATCAACTCTACTTTGAGGGGAGCCCTGGTGGTGCAGTGGTTAAGAGCTTGGCTGCTAACCAAAAGGTCTACAGTTCGAATCCACCAGCCGCTCCTTGGAAACCTTATGGGGCAGTTTAGGAGGTAGCCCTTCCCCGGTGCTGTTTAGAGTGCCTTCCAACCTGAGGGGCTCATCTTCCAGCACTATATCAGACAATGTTCTGCTGCTATTCACAAAGTTTTCACTGGCCAGTTTTTCAGAAGTAGTTTGCCAGGTCCTTCTTCCTAGTCTTTCTTAGTCTGGAAGCTCTGCTGAAACCTGTCTACCATGGGTGATCCTGCTGGTATTTGAAATGCCAGTGGCATAGCTTCCAGCATCACAGCGACACACAAGCCACCACAGTACGACAAACTGACAGATGCGTGGGGATGCTCATAAACTGGAAAAAAAAAAAAACCCACAAAACCCAAATCCATTACCACTGAGTTGATTCCGACTCATAGCAACCCCATAGGACAGAGTAGAACTGCCCTATAGGGTTTCCAAGGAGTGGCTGGTAGATTCAAACTGCTGACCTTTATGGTTAGCAGCAGAGCTCTTAACCACTGCGCCACGAGGGCCCCAGGGTGCACATAGTAGGTGCTAAATAAATGGTTGTAACTCTTAATAGTAAAATGGAACTTACCTCATAGGACTTTCATTCATTCATTGTACATTCATTGAGGACAGTGACTGTCTCTTTACTTCGTTCACATCTGTCACAGCATCTGCCCGTGACTACTGCTCAGTAAGTATTTTTAGAATAAATGAATAAAACAGTGAACGGCCCCCTCAATTATAAATAACTAACTTTCTCACTGAAGACCTCCAGAGCAGCTGACACCTGGCTCCGTGGGCCTTTGCTCCTTACTGAGAGGATCTCTTTGGGTGTTTTTCTTTTAGTCTGAAGGTTTTAAAACAGAGTTTTCCTCTATAATCTCTGTTACAGAAAGAACGGTGTCCGCCCAGAATATGTGTTGTAAATCCTAACCTCTATGCCTGTGGTTGTAATCCCATTTGGGAATGGATTGTCTTTGTTATGTTAATGAGATAGGATTAGTGTAGGCCATATCTTGAGATATAGAAGAGATTAAACTCATGCTAGCAAGCAGAGATGGGGGAGGAGAGATGCCAGGCCACATGGAGATCACCCAGAAGCAGAAGCTGAAAAGAGGCAAGGACCTTCCTCCAGAGCCAACAGAGGGAGAAAGCCTTCCCCTGGAGCTGGTGCCCTGAATTTGGACTGCTAGCCTCCTAAACTGTGAGATAATAAATTTCTGTTTGTTAAAGCCACCCCCTTGTGGTATTTCTGTTATAGCAGCACTAGAGAACTAGGACAATCTGTAAGCTTTTTAATATGAGAAAAGAAGAAAAACAAGAAGAGAATGCACCCGACTGTGTCACTTTGCAGACCTCAGTGCCTGCCTAGGACCATCAACTCTGCAGACACTAAGGTCACGGTGAAGGGCATGGCCTCTAGGCCCTATTTGCTGTAAGCAGGCTGGGGTGTTGCTGTGGGGCCTGAAAGCATTAGAGACTCAAAGGATTTTAGTTTACAGGTGGTCCTGGAGGCCAGAGAGAGGCTTTGGAAGTGACTTCCAGGAGGAGTCTGTTTTAAACAATCACGTTTCCATTCAGCGCTGCCCCAAGTCTTTTGCCAGGGTTGCCTTGGCAGAGAAACAGGAATCTGTGTGTGTTTCCTCATTTTCCTGCTCCAGGCAGTCCTCTGTAAGAGGCTCAGGCAATGAGGAAAGGTGCTGTTCCAACAGGGTCATTAGCTCTTGAGTAAGGAGGCAGCCTGGCTCCTTCAGAGCCCTTGTCAGAGGGCATTGGGAGGCTGCCATCTTCCAGGTTCAGGGTTATGACCTAGCCAGAAGGCTGTAACTCAGGTGGTGAACCCACCCGAGGCAGGGGTGGCAGCAGGCTCTGGGGGTGGGAACGGAGCTGCCCTTCTTCCGCCTTCTCCCCACAGGCTTGGTTTCACAATGATCCCCTAATGCCTCTTCATGGCTCTAACCAGTTTGTCATTGAGTCAACTCTGACTCATGATAATCCCCTGTGTGTCAGAGTAGAGCTGTGCTCCATAGGGTTTTTAATGGCTGATTTTTCGGAAATAGATTGCCAGGCCTTTCTTCCTAGGCACCTCTGGGTAAACTCAACCTTCCATCCTTTTGCTTAGCAGCCAAGCGTGTTTGCACCAACCAGGGATTGCTCATGTCTCTCTATGACACAGCAAACCCTAACGCTCCTTATTCTTGCAGCTTTCATGTCAGCGTATTCTCTTTGAAATGTTGGAAAGGCGCCACTTTTGGTGAATGAGCTCAGGGAAACCACTGCTCCCTCCCTCCTTTGAGACAAGACTCCTTTCCTCCCCTCCTTTCCCCTGTTCCCCCTTCTCTTTCTCTTCTCTCCCCTCCCCTCCCTCTCACTGTCCCCTCTCCTCCCCTTCCCAGAATACCAGGAATCGAGTGTGAATTGCGGCTTCTCTTGGTTTGCCTTCTGTGGGGTCCTGACCTGGTGGTTTCCTTTCTGTGCAGGTTTGTGGATTTCCACGCAGCCGCTTCCACCTGCTCGCCCTCCCGTGCCTCCCTGCTCACAGGCCGGCTGGGTCTTCGCAATGGGGTCACCCACAACTTTGCAGTCACCTCTGTGGGGGGCCTTCCGCTCAACGAGACCACCTTGGCGGAGGTGCTGCAGCAGGCTGGCTACGTCACCGGCATGATAGGTAACACGGGTCCTGCAGCCGGGACCCCATCTTCCGGCTGTGCTTACTCTGGTGGCTGCTCGTGTTAGCTTAGCCCCAACCTGCTGCTGCTGTTCTGTTCGTGCCTGCTTTCTTTCTTTCATTTCTCGCTACTTAAGTTAGGAATGCTTGCAGCTATAGGAAATTGAAAAGACGTATGGATGAGAACATTTATGGAGCTATTTTCTCACATTATACCAAGCTTAGAGACAGTGTTTGCTTCCATTAGCTCCACTACTCAGAGATGTCAGTTGGAGCCAGGGGTTTTCTGTATCTCTGCTCTCCGTCCTTAGTGTGTTGGCATTTGTCCTCAGCCTTGTTGCCTCATGGTTCAGTAGAGCGGCTGCAGTGCCATTCACTGCACGTGGGTGTCAGGGAGGAAGGAGAGATGGTGCCAGCCTCATTTGTCCGCTTTGATCAGAAAAGCAAATCTTTTTTCAGACACTCCCTTGGCCCCCAGCGGAATTGCACTTATGTCTGATTGGCTGGAACTGTATCACATGGCCATCGCTAGCTGCAGGAAAGGCTGGGAAGTTGGGGACAGGATTAGAATGGTTGACTTGGGCTTGGACACGTTGATCCTTTACCCACCTGAGCAAAACCAAGTTCTAGTAGCAGGATAAATGGGGACCTGGGTATAGGGTAGGCAATCAGCCATATTGTCCAATGTCCTTCCCTTTTTAAGTTTTTTAGGCACCCTTTATTCAACATTGAGTTAAGTGTTTATTTGCACCAGGGCACGGGGATGCATGCCATTTAAGATTATTTCTCCCATTTTATAGTTGAGAAAACTGAATTTCAGACAGGTGAAGAGACTCGTTCCAAGTTACCTAGCCAGGAGCTGGTAAAGGCTGGATCTAGACAGGTGTATATGGCTCTTATCTGCACAGCCTCGCCATCTGTCTCCCCTCTGAGACTAATAAAACGCTGCAGTCCCAACAGCATCGTCCGGCTGCCTGTGCTTGTTATTCTTCCTCTCAAAGAGCTGAGTCCTTTGGGATTCCTGCTCCCTCCCCCGCACGTGAAGTGGCAGGGGAGAGCCTACAGAACACAGTGAACAGGGGGCAGGGACAGTCCCTGTGGGTGTGTTATTGGTGCCTGGAGCTTCCCGTATTCAACTGTAGGAGGCTGCTTTACCCAGAACAAGGGCTGGCCTTCTGGGATCGGCCCTTCCTCCTCCTCTTGTCAAGGAACCTAACATACTTTTGGGTTGATGTTGTTGTTACTGCAGTCAGGTCAGCCCCTGACTCATGACAGGGCTACACAAGAGAACAAAATGCTGCCTATTCCTGCGCCATCCATGATCTGTTGGGGATCAGACCATTGTGATCCATAGGGTTTTCATTGGCTGATTTTCAGAAGTAGAGCGCTAGGCCTTTGTTCCTAGTCTGTCTTAGTCTGGAAGCTCTGCTGAAACTTGATCAGAATCATAGCAACATGCAAGCCTCCACGGACAGGTGGGTGCTGGCTGCACATGAGGTGCCCTGGCTAGGAATCTAACCCAGATCTTGTGCATGGAAGGTGAGTATTCTACCACTGACCCACCACCGCCGTCTATAGCATACTTTTACAGAAGGCCAAACTGCAATGTGGGACTCATTGTCCCGGGGCGGGGCGCAGGCCCCAGTTGGCGGGAGGATGGACTAGTTAAGGTCCAATTCTACTATCCTTTTGCAATGGCTTTCTCCCCATACCCTGGGGTATAGTAATGTTAATGATATCGGCATTGGCCGTGACCGTTGGTGAAGCTCCCAGGATGAGTGGGGCATCCTTACCAGACACAGTTCATGAATCATTTGCCTTACTACTCACAGCTCTCTGGGTTTAACCCCAGCGCTGTCTGACTCCAGCACCTTGTGCTGCCCTGGGGAGCTGGAGTCTTCTTGAGCTGGATTTGACCTCATTTGCCCCTCCCTCTTCACTCCTTCAAACTCCAAGTAAGCAACTGATCCACAGGGTTTTTACTGGCTAATTTTCAGAAGTAGATCTCCAGGCCTTTCTTCCTAGAATGTTGAAGATGAAGATGGCACAGGACCAGGTAACATTTTGTTCTGTTGTCATAAGGTCGCCATGAGTTAGAGCTGACTTGATGGTACCTAATGACACAACAAGCAGCTGCTAACAGGCCAAGAGTTCAGCCATCACTCCGACCCCTCACTACTCACTGCACCTTTTGAATGTTCTGGACAGGATATTTAAGCACTTCCACTTGTTGAAATTAGGAGCTAAAGGACACATACAGAGAAAATAAAAAACCTACTCTTACCCACACTTTCCTTCTAATCCTGGTCCGTGTTTATGTGGTTCTACATAGTTATGCACCTTCCACTTCGCTTCTCATGATTTTATATTTCCATGGAATGCTTAATCCATACACTTGTCTTTTCCCTCCCTCAGCTTTCTTATTCGATTTTTTTCAAACCTACAGAGCCGTTGCAAAAAGAGAATCGTGGACATCTATGTGCCCTTCACCTAGATTCACCGGTTGTTAATTTTTGCTGTATGCATTTGTCTTTAGAAGATAGTTTTGTAGTATTTTATTGAGGCCACACAAAATTATCTGCTCATCTATACTGCTCCGGTTGCCTGTTTTAAGTTCTCTCTTCCCTTTGTGTTTATTTAATGCCACTACTGTTTGGGTCTTCGTACAATGTGCTTTCCCTTTCCCACTTGCCTTGTGGGTGATTCCCCTGGGGGGATACCCCTCGGAACAGAATTAGCTGTTCAAAGAGTTGCAGCGTTGTCAGAGCTCTTGCCACATGCTGCTCAGTTTTTCTCCCCGACCAAACCCATTTACAGAGTGACAAGCAGCTGTGGGTCTGGGTTTCCTCATTGGCTGGCCTGGTAGATGTCTCAGCGCGTGAACTGCAGTGGCAAGGCGTTCTCTTGGACGGCCTCCGCAGGCTGAGGACGCCGGCCAGAGAAGAAGCTGACAACACCAACCCGGAACTGAGCGTCTCCGAGACGGCACCGGGAAATGCACAAGCACCCCGGGCCGCCTGGGGCCTTTGCAGGCCCCCCCGCTTTCCATACAGGAGGGCAGAGAGGAAGGTGTAATGGGCATGGCAGTTGACTTCCAAAACATCAGCCACTGAAAACCCTGTGGAGCACAGTTCTACTCTGACACACATGAGGTCACCATGAGTTGGGGTCGACTTGGTGGCAACAGGTGTTTGGAGTCCCTGGGTGGTGCAAATGATTAATGCGCTCCACTGCTAACTGAAAGGTTGGAGGGTTGAGTCTACCCAGAGGCACCTCGGAAGAAAGGCCTGGCAATCTACTTCCAAAAAACCAGCTACTGAAAACCCTATATAACACAGTTCTACTCCGACACCCAAGGGGTTGCTCTGGGTTGGAGTCGACGCTGCAGCAGCTGGTTTTCCTGCTGGTTGTTGTGGTCGCTGCTGTTGGCTTGTCTCTCATGCTGGCTTTCCTGCTTGGGCCCTGAGTCATCCTTACCTACTTGCTGTCTCCCTGTGGACTCCCTCTCGGTCCCAGAGAGCAAGACGTGGCTTTCTCGCCACATTTGCGAGCTCTCTGTGCTTGTCCTTGGTAAAGGGCAAAGCCGATGGAGACCTGAGTGTTTAATCAGGTCCCCAGAGGGTCTGGGTCCCCCACTGGGATTCCTCTGAACGTCTCTCTCTTGTTTTCCTACAGGCAAATGGCATCTTGGGCACCACGGCTCTTATCACCCCAACTTTCGTGGTAAGAATTCTTTTGGGGTTTTGTTACCTGGAAGAGAGAAAATAAAAATCTCCGTGTAGAAGGACTTCATGAATGTTTAAGCCATCCTGCCCCTTGGGGGGAATCCTTGGGTGGTGCAAATGGTTGATGCGCTTGGCTGCTAACCAAAAGGTTGGAGTTCGGAATCCATCCCGAGATACCTCAGACGAAAGGCCTGGTGATCCACTTCCAAAAAATCAGCCATTGAAAACCCTATGGCACACAGTTCTGCTTTGACACATGAGTTGGGGTTGACTTGAGGACAACTGGTTTGGCCCTTGGGGTACTTCCCCCCTAAGTTAGGATTTCCTTGTTTGCAAGGTCACTTGGGCAAGTTTAAGATGCCTAGGGTGCCCCCTTGACCTCACGCCCCTCTCACTTGGCACCTTTTCTGGCTCCTCTTTCCTTGGTGCCTGTCTACCTTACCATTTCCCCATGGTGGGTCAATCAGTGTTCTTGCTGTCCTCCAGTTCTTTACACCTCAGGGAGCCCTCTGCCCTCTTGAAGTCCAGACAGGTTGAGTCTGGTAGGAAGTAAAAATTGTCTGGTGGGTTCGCCAAAGCAGGGCACTGACCATTGACCCAAATAGGGAATGCTCCTTCTTGGCTTCTTCCTGCAGCCTTTTGCTTCCTCAAGTCTCTTACCTCTGACCTCAGGGAAGCAGGCCAAGATCAGCCCGCCAAAAGCCAGTTGTCTGAAAACTGATTTGTTGAGTGGCGGTTTCTTCCAATGTCCACTTTGCTGAAGTATTGGTGGTTTTTTCAAAGTTTGACTTTTGCCACTGTTCTTTTCCTGATCTGCCCTTTCCATGTCATGTGGGAATGGAAGGACTGTCTCTTAAAAGTAGTTCACCCTTCCCTTCATCTTTGTAACGTATCCCTGTCCCCACCCTCAAGTATGCTTCCTCTTCTGCTTCGGCTCCGGCCATTGTATCAGCAACTGGTGGCTTTCCCCTAAATACAGCTCTCTGACTGTCTGCAGACTCTCCCCTGCCCCAATGTCTCTCCCTATCTCTGTGGAAAAGGGCTGCCTTGCTCTGTCCTAGCCCTGGTGGCGCAATGGTTAAGAGCTCGGCTGCTAACCACAGTCGTCAGTTCAAATCCATCAGCTGCTCTTTGGAAACCCTATGGGGCAATTCTGCTCAGTCCTGTAGGGTTGCTGTGAGTTGGAATCAACTCGACAGCAGTTGGTAAAGACCTGGTTGAAGCTATGCATCTGGAGGGCTTTGGATTTGGAAAATGACTTTCAGAGCATTGACCTGGAGCTGGCCCTCAGCCCCCTGCCCCGTGGGTCAGTGGCTCCATCGGCTGACATCTTCTCAGATTTCTGGCTCCTCTTCAGTGCTCATTCCTTCCCCTCTCCTACCTCATGCCCCATGTCCAATTTGGGCCTCCGTGGCATCTTCCATTGCATGCTTTTTAAAAATGGCAAATGGGGGAATTTCCTACTTAACTATTCCAGAACTTACTTTTCCTCTCTGGTATTTAGTTCACACTTGACAAATGAGGGCTTGGACTATATCAGGGTGGCAATGTCTTGAGTGCAAGTGCTTAGAGTCCCTTGTTAGAAAGAATGATGAAACAGGGTCCTGCTTAGCAGGAAGTGGTGCCATGATGGATTCATGGTGTCTACTGTAAGAGCTTGATAAAATAGAGGGTCAGCGATAAAGTGGAAGACCCTCAATGAGATGGACTGACATAGTGGCTGCAACAATGGGCTCAAACACAGCTACGTTTGTGAGGATGGCACAGGACTGGGCAGTGTTCCGTTCCATTGTACGTGGGGTCGCTCTGAGTTGGAACCGACTTGACGGCATCTAACAAAAACAACACTGGGGGAATGGGAACAGAGAGTGACCACCGACATTTGCTGTTGCTGGACCAGACAGTCTCTAAGGGCTCTGACTCAGACATTCAGATACGCTGTGGTTCCTTGATGCCTGTCTCCCAGTTAGTTCACTCCTATTCCTTCCTGCCTCTTGTCCCCTCTCCATGGTGCACTGTCTTGGTGCCCATCAGCCTCATGGCTGTCCCTCTAACCCCTCCCCGGATCATGTCAAACCCAGTCACATATCCCTTCTGCACATCCAGACCCGTCTTGCTGCCCTTCATTGTTCTCAGATCAGCAAACACAATGAGACCTCTTCCTAACACTGGGGTCTGAGGACGTCTGTAGCATAGACCAGAGGTTAGCAAACTATGGCCCCCACAGCCCAAATGCAGTCCACCATCTGTTTTTGTAAATCAAGATTTATTGGAACACAGCCACACTTATTTATTTATGTTGCCTATGGCTGCCTTTGTGCTACAACGGCAGCGTTGAGTAGCCTCAAAGGAGACCATCTGGGCTGCGAAACCTAAAATATTCACTTTCTAGCCTTTTACAGAAAATGCCGTCCAACCTAAGGGGGCTCATCTTCCAGCACCATATTGGACAATGTTCTGTTGTGATCCATAGGGGTTTTGTTGGCTAATTTTCAGTAGATCACCAGGCCTTTCTTTCTAGTCTGCCTCCACCTGGAAACTCCACTGAAACCTGTCCACCATGGATGACTCCGCTAGTGTTTGAAAATACGGATGGCATAGTCCAGTATCACAGCAATACGCGAGCCAGCACAGTGCCACACACTGACAGATGGGTGGTGAAAGTTGTATCTCTTTCTAGGGCAATCAAGAGAATTGCATCAGTTACTTGGGTAATTGGGAGAGGTTTCCCTTTTTTGGAGCATTTGTGCATTCTGTTTTCATATGTAGATATATCCTTGAGATACCAGCTTGGGTTGGGGAAGAGATGGGATGAGGGAGGGTCTCAGAAAAAGTTCACCATAAAGTATTCAGGTCTTAACTTAGCGCTCACATCCTTACTTCCCCTACCTCCACCCCATCACCCAAAACCCAAATCCTGCCAACTTGAGCCCACGCTGAGATGCCATCTCCTTTAAGAAGCATTTTGAGATTCCTGCGCCAACCCTGTCCCATCCCTAGCATTTGCAAGTCACTTCTTTTGCTCTCTCTTGTTGGCTTACCTGTCAGTCTCATAGCTTAATCTATATGTCTTCTTTCCCCTTCAGATGGGAAGTCTCTTGAGGGCAGGAGTTATTTATTTTTATCCCTTAAAGTGTCGTGCATGGAGTAGATCTGCACCAGATGCTTACTGGGCATGTAAGTTGTTACACTGGGAATGTTAGGTGTGCAGTAAGAATTCTCTCCACTTCCTCCCAGTCTGGGTTACCTCTGGTCACGAGATGTTTGGCAAATCTAGTCTCACAGCCAGAGAACCCAGCAACGTGCTTTTCTTTGCATACTACAAAGAAATATTAATCCAATCCTCTTTTAATTACATACTCTGTAGCCCTGCAGTATTAAATCATAGGAAATGAAACTTTTGTCGTGGATGTAAGAATGCAGGCACGTAGAATAGCAGCAGCCAAGTGAGGGTGCTAACCGGATGCTTCTCTTCTAGGTTTTGATTACTACTTTGGAATCCCGTACAGCAATGATATGGGCTGTACTGATACCCCGGGCTATGACCACCCTCCTTGTCCAGCGTGTCCACAACAGAGTAGACCGTCAAGGTAATAAATACTATTGTGGTGCAAAGAGTTAACACGGTCGTCTGCTAAATGAAAGGTTGGAGGTTTGAGTCCGCCCAGAGATACCTCAGAAGAAAGGTCTGATGATCAGCTTCTGAAAAATCAGCCATTGAAAACCCTGTGGAGCGCAGTTCTACTCTGATACACATGAGGTCACCATGAGTTGGTGTCGACTCGACCACAACTGGTTTGTTTCTTCTTTTTTGGTTTATTCAAGGCATTTGCTATGGGTTCCAGAACAAGCTGAGGTCCTAAGGGGGTGGTCCATCAGGAGTAAATGAGAAAGCCGGACAGGCAACAGTTAAGACAGCAAGGAAGACAGGTGTGCGTTCAGGTGCAAATTTAAACGCACTATTTGCATTGAGTGTAAGAAAACTTAGAGCAAAGACAAGGCCAATGAAATTCTTCTGTTGGAATTTTCCATGTCCTTTGGCCTGTTTAGCTCCGCTGGGGGGCCTAGTGCTGCCAGGGCCTCAAACCGGTGGCCCCCCCTCCTGCCTACCGACTTTGCTCCTGGCCCACGCACCTGGCTCAGACTCTGGACACAGGGAGGGATAGAGAAAAAGCGCACAGGGCTGCCTGCCAGCCTCGCCCTCCCCTGGATAGGTCAGCCGGCATTCTGGTGTTGGAGTGTCATGCAGGCATTTAACAGGATGTTTTTAAAGCATAGTCAATGAAGTGGGCAAATGTTCATGCTATAATGTTGTTGTTGTCATTAGGTGCCCTCGAGTCAGTTCCAACTCATAGTGACCCCATGTACAACAGAACAAAACACTGCCCGGTCCTCACAGCTACCACGGCCTCCACCAGACTGAGTCCAGCGCAGCTAGATGGTGCCTGGCTATCACCACTGACTGCTCTGACCGAGATCACAATAGAGGATCCTGGACAGAGCTGGAAAAGGAAGTAGAACAAAATTCTCACTCACAAAAAAAACAAAACAAAACAAAACAAAAAACACTAGATTTACTGGCCTGACAGACTGGAGAAACCCCCGAGAGTATGGCCCCCAGACACCCTTTTAGCTCAGTGGTGAAGTCATTCCCGGGGTTCACTGTCCGGCTGGGGATTGGATGGCCTCATGGAGCAGAGTGGGACTGATGAGGCACAGCAGTCCAGGAACAAGGACTAGAAGGCAGGAGGGGACAGGAAAGCTGGTGATAGGGAACCCAAGGTTGAGAAGGGACAGTGTTGACATGTCCTGGGGTTGTTAACCATTGTCATAGGGCAATATGTGTACTAACTGTTTAATGAGAAACCATTTGTTCTGCAAACCTTCATCTAAGGTACAAAAAAAAAAAAAAGCATTATCTATGTGAGATCAAATTGACAACAGCAACTCAAAAGGTTTGATGGGAAGCCTAGGGGACAGTGAGTTGAAGATAATGGTGATGGAATAATTTGGAAAAGGATAGTGAGAATAGCAGCACAACTGGAAGAATGTAATTGATGTCACCGAATTGTACATGTAGAAACTTTTGAAATGGTGTAACTTTGGCTATGTATATTTTCACCAAAAAAAAAAAGGTCCTCCAAGGTCGAGAAGGGAGAATGTTAGCATGTCATAGGGTTGTTAAGCAATGTCATAGAATGGTGTGTGTACTGACTGTTTGATGAGAGACTATTTGTTCTGTAAACCTTCATCTAAAGTGCAATAAAAAAAAAAAAATTAAAAAAAAACACTGCCCAGTCCTGTGCCATCCCTGTGATCATTGTTATGCTTGAGCCCATTGTTGCAGCCACTGTGTCAGTCTATCTTGTGGAGGGTCTTCCTCTTCTTCGCTGACCCTCTACTTTACCAAGCATGATGTCCTTCTCCAGGGACTGGTCACTCCTGATAACATGTCCAAATATGTGAGACAAAGTCTCACCATCCTTGTTTCTAAGGAGCATTCTGGCTGTAGTGAAAAAAGCAGGAAGCAAATCATCAACAATATGGTCTTAACTACATCTCTACCCGTATCGTTATAGTCCTATCGAGAGAGACTGAAGGAAAACCTGTCAAAATGTGAACAGTGGTTCTGTCTAGTTGTGGGACTAAGGGGCTTTCATTTTCTGATTTTGCATTGTATTTTCCAAATATTCTGTAATGAGCATGCACTGTTATTATCAGAAAAAGATAAGCAACCTTTTTCGAGTCACAAAGCAGCGCAGACACGTGCTCCTCTTGTACGGAAAGTGTACTGCTGTTATTTGTAAACTCACAGGTGTCAGAACCACTTGGGGAAGGTGAGTCTCAGCTGGCTCATTAATAACAAAATAGTTAATATAATAATGGCTGTTTACTGAGAAATCGTTGTCGTCTAGGAATGCTACGTGACTTACCTTTAATCCACACAGCCATTGTATGAGGCAGGTATTTATCCTGACTTTACAGGTAAGGAAGCTGACCCTATCCAGGTTACACCGGAACTGGTGGTGTTGTTACGTGTCGTCGGGTTGATTCCGAGTTACGGCGACTGCATGTGACCGACTAGAACTGCCCCATAGGGTTTTCTAGGCTGTAATCTTTACAGAAGCAGATTGCCAGGTCTTTCTCCCACGGAGCTGCTGGGTGGGTTCAAACCACCAACCTTTCGGTTAGTAGCCGAGCGCTTAACCATTGTCCACCAGAGCTCCTTCTGAAACTGGTAAGAGGTGGGAATGGAGATTCCAATCCAGCTTTCTCTAAGTCCAGAGTCCATACTCTCTAAAGCCTTCTCCTCAGCAGCGTGGGTGTCTCCAGGGGCTTGTCAGAGATGCTGAGTCTCAGGCCCCATCCCTGAGGATCTGCATTTAAACAAGATGCCCAGGTGATTCGAGGGCTCAGTACAGTGTGAGAGGTGCCTGCTGCCCCCTCTACCCTCTGTGGCTGGGGGCCAAACCTGCCGGGCACAGCTGGCACCCTCTGGCCCTAGTGGGTGTGACATGTATCAGCCAACCTGCTGAAAACCAAACCTGTTGCTATCTAGTCGATTCCAACTCAAAGCGACTCTATAGGACAGAGTAGAACTGCCCCATAGGGTTTCGAAGGAGTGGCTGGTGGATTCAAACTGCCAGCCTTTTGGTTAGCAGCTGTAGCTCTGAACCACTGTGCCACCAGGGCTCCCATATATCAGCCAGTCCTTTAAAAATCTGTATTACAATCAAATAGAAAGAAAAAAAACAAAACAAAAAAAAAATAGTTGGCTTAGGGAAAGAAAAGGAGAGAATGTATAATGATGGTGGAGTTGCCCTGAGATAATAAAGAGCTGAAAAATGCAACACAGATGGTGGGATTATTGAAGGGATTATTGATGGTGGAATTGTTTATGTCCAGCACAGTGATAACTCTTTTTCTGTCTTCAAAAGAGCATGCTCCTTGGCGATTACCTACTCCAGTTGGACCCTCTTGTCTCCTTAGTTTCTGTAATGAGTGTGTGCATATATGTGTGGATGGGGAGATTTGAGCTTTTGATTTGTGAAAAGGACTTGTTCTTCCAAGTTTTTTCTCTATACTGTTAGAACAGTTCACCTGCCTAAGAGGTCTCCTGTTATCTCTCCTTTTCTCTCAGTTATTCTCAGCTTCTCTCCTGGTTCTCTGTGTCAATCAGGATAAAGAACTTCAGTTTTTAGTAAGCACCAGTGTATGCCTTGGAGCCCAGTGGTGCTTTGGTTAAGAGCTTGGCTGCTAACCCAAAGGCTGGCAGTTCAAATCCACCAGCCACTCCTTGGAAACCCTATGGAGCAGTTCTACTCCCATTTTGCAAGGAGAGAAACTGAGGCCTAACAGGATAAATTCAGCAAGTAGAGTCTCCTAGCCAATCAGTAGACCTGTCCTCGGCATTTGGCATTTCTGTTTTGTGCATTAATGATGTATGTCTGGCAGTAACGAATGCTGAGGTGTGAGGTGAGAGTAACGCTGGCTATGATGATTAAGGTTATGTGTCACCTTGGCTGGGCCATGATCCTCAGTGTTTTGGCAGCTATGTAATGATGTAATTTGGCAGTTATGTAATGATGTAGTCATCCTCCATTTTGTAATCTGATGTGGTCATCCTCCATTTTTGCATAACTACCTGGTGTATTATATTGGTTTTACACTTGGAAGAAATGGTGGATTGGCAAAAGCATTTGGGCCAAGTGTTTTGTATTTATGTGCATTGCTGCATTAAAACATTTTGCTTCTACTTTATGACTGCTTAGGGTGTGGAAGTAAATAGGCTACTGTGTGTGCTTTCCACCCAGGAATCCTGAGAGGGCCTGTTACACGGACGTGGCCCTTCCTCTGTATGAGAACCTCACCATCGTTGAGCAGCCAGTGAACTTGAGCAGCCTGGCGCAGAAGTATGCTGAGAAAGCCACCCAGTTCGTCCAGCATGCCAGGTAAGGACCCCAAGTGCTGCCCTCACTCCCCCACCCGCCGTGTTCCCCGGCCTCAGCACTCCCCAAAGACATGGCAGGTTTCATTGCTCAACAAAGAGATGGGTATGTGTGTGTCCTGTAAATGAAACTGAAAAACAGTTCCCCTTGGAATCTTCAGGCCTGAGTTAGAAGCTCCACAGTGTGTTCTGGAGTTCCTGGGAGCCGAAACCATATCCCTGCTCTTACCATGCTATGGTGTCATTATGATTCTGTTTTCTCCTACTAGGGCCTGTCCACTGTATTCTGGGTACTCAAGGTGTTTGCTGAATTCATTCATTAGCAGGATGTATTAGTTTCCTATTGCTGCTGTAACAAGTCACCGTACGCTTAGTGGCTAAAACAACAGAAATTTATTCTCTTATAGTTCTTGGAGGTCAGAAGTCCAAAATGAGTCTTATGGAGCTAAAACCAAGGTGTTGGCAAGGCTGGTTCCTTCTGGAGGCTCCAGGGGAGAATCATACCTTGCTTCTTCCAGCTTCTGGTGGTTGCCACTGGCATTCTGTGGTTTATGGTCACAACACTCCAGTCTCTACTTCCTTTGTCATGTTGATTTCTCCTCTGCGTAGTCAAAGCTCCCTCTGCCTCCCTTTTATAAGGATACTTGTAATTCCCTCTCTATTGCAAGATCCTTAACTTAGTCACATCTGCAAGGACCCTTTTGTCATATAAGGTAACATTCACAGACTCCAAGGATTAGCACCTAGATATCTTTGGGGGTCATTTTTCAGCCTACCACAAATTCCAGCACTACAGGGTAAGCAGGTAACCTTAAACTGGGAAGCAGGCTGAGTGTAAGGCCTTAGGGAGTGGTGTGGCCTGTGGTGAACCTGAAAGCACATGCCCCATCTAAAGGGGGGGGCACTACCTTAGTTCTAACTGCTTGTTGCTATGTGAGAATGTGAGCCTAGCGTGGTCAGATCATCTCATTTTACCAGAGAGACAGGGTACATGGCTCTTCTGCAAAATCTCCTCGTCTGTCAATGTTCACAACTACTGCAAATTAAGAAGAACAAAAAGGAAAAAACAACACCAGACCACAGTGGGTCTCTAACAAATCACATAGGCGTGAGGGCTGCTGGTCTGCAACCTCTGTCAGGTCAGGGAGAAGCGTCATGGAGATTGTGAAACAACAGACAACTCCCCAACTGTGCATACTTACCTTGGGTACAAGCCCTCACGCACATGCAGGCATTTCTCCTCCACCACCTCACGCCTTGAGCTGACCCCTCATACTGCTGCCTCATATTTTTTATAGCCTTTTAGCCTAAATGGGCAAGAAAAAACAGGCTGTGTGGCTGTCTACTTGAGCAGAATTAAAATGGACTCCACTTATGGATAACTGTGACCATACCAGCCCTTAAGTGTACAAGGATCCCTCTACTCCACCTGCCCCCTCCTCCTCCGTCTGTCACGTTGGAATTTTCTAGAGGGAAGATCAGTAAGGAGAGTAGAGGTAGCAAGGTTGGCAGATCCAGTCATTTATTTCTTGATAATAAAACCTACTGAAGGTCTTCATCTCGAGAGCGGCCACTTAGGGCTTCAGAGAGTGCATGTTAACAGGTTTCAGGAATTTCTGAAAAACGGTTTTTTTCCACATTGCTGATGTGAAAAGCCCTTTCTCGCATCTGGAGGGTTGAGTATTTCCCAGCTCCCTGGAGCTTCGAGGTGGTCCAGGGCCCTGTCCCTTGTGACTGGTGAGTGCTTCAAGGCTGGGACGACAGTCCACTCCTGCCTCGAGGGCCTCCAAACGAGCAGCGTGGTTTCTGAGAGGAAGCCAATGGCAGCCAGCTGGGGTGTACGTAGGACCGTTAACACCCGCTCTGAGGTGGACATCTGTCAGTTAATCAGTTAAAAGACAGACAGATCGGCTAGCGAGCTCCTTATCAAGTGAAAAAGGTGAAGAGTTTGCTGATTTATGAATTAGTTATTAAGTTGAAAGTTCCATGAGTCCTGTTGGTTTTTAACTTTACGGAAGGTAATCCTCAGGCCTGCTGATTTCTATAGGATTCGACGTGATGATTTATCTGTGGATCTCTGAGTGTCAGTAGAAAGGGCCGCCAGGTCTGTGCTCCTTTCTCCTCCAGGGGCCCTGCCCCCACCTCTGACGCCTCCCCTCACCTGGATCTGTTTGTCAAAAGTACCAGGTATCCCTAGGGTGTGGCTTCCTGCTCCCAAACCTATATTTATTGATATATGTAAACCTATTTATTGATATAAAATATAAGTATGTGTAAACCAGTAACCAGTTGCCTTTGAGTCAATTCCTAAATCACGGCAATACCCTCAGTGAGGATTCACATCCACAACCACCGCAAGTAAAACCAGTTGCCCTCAAGTCAACTCTGACTCACGGCCACCCCGTGTGTGTCAGAGTAGAACTGTGTTCCACAGACTTTTCAGTGGCTGATTTTTCAGAAGTAGATCTCCAGTCCTTTCCTCTGAGGTGCCTCTGGGTGAAGTTGAACCTCCCACCTTTCGGTTAGCAGCCGAGCGCATTAACCGTTTGCACCACCCAGGGATTGATTCCTGCTCCTTCTTGGACTCTATTCTGAATTTGGGCATGGAAGGGGCCCCACCCTAAAACTTCTTTGACTTTGTGCTTGGGTCTTTACGTAGCATCAGTGCCGAAGGTGAATGCTTGAACTGGGTCTCTTGAGCAGGAGGTAAAGCTAGAATAGGCAGAAAAGGGAAGTGCAGAGAGCCTGGGCTCCTGGTAACGAAGCTAGACGGTCCTCTGCTCCTTACAGGGTCTGGGACTGCATGCTGAACCTGAATAGGGGACACAGACCTTGACAAGGATGAATGTTGTCAAATAAAAATCCAGTCCAGCCTTTGATAAGGAGAAGCTTTATTCAGAAAGGAAAGGGGAAACGGACTATTCCAGTAGGGGAAAGGGTCTATCGTAATAGATGTGCTAGGGTATCAGAGAGTTAGGGAAAAAGCATTTTTCTTTTATCGAGACTGAGAGTAAATGAGGCTAGAAAACGCCCAGGTGTGGGGAAGTGGGGTGAAAGGGTGGCATGATGGGAGAGTAAATCAGAACATTTTCTGCTGAGGCCAGCCCATTCTCCATGAGGGGCCCTTCCATAGGGGTGGGATGTTGGCTCAGGCTGAGGGTGGGCCAAAGTTCAGAGACCGGGAGGAAGGAGAGAAGCTTAACAGAAGTTTAGTCAACAAGCACTTTGTTTCTTATTGATCAGTGGGGGCAAACAATTTGGTTACTCATTTACGAGCAAGGAATGGAATTTGGAGGGTCTACGTGTGACCTTGTCATAGATAAACAGGCAGACCTCGGTGAACCTTATCTAAGTCATATGGGAAGGGAGGTTATTTGCAATAAGCTGTTTTCCTGAATGCAAAGGGTGAGGGGATTTCTTTAACCATTGCTGTTTCCCAGAATCACAGGGATCAGGTAAAATCCAACACTGTCAGTGTGTTGGGCACAGGGATGAGTGGTGGCTTAGGATATTTGAAATCAGAGCCGTCTGGAAAGTCTGGGGTGTATTGGTAGTGCAAACAGTTAACGCACTTGACCACTAACCAAAAGGCTGGGGATTTGAGTTCACCCAGAGACATCTCAGAAGAAAGGGGTGGTGATCTACTTCTGAACAATCAGCCACTGAAAACCCTGTGGGGCACAGTTCTACTCTGACATACATGGGGTCACCCTGTTAACTGGTTATGGCCAACGTTTCAGGGCATTTATCATTCAAAATTAGGTCTTAGAGGCGCACATGAAAAACGAGCCCCGGCTCTCATGGGGTAGGATCTCCAACACCGTCTTGATACCCTCTTTTACTTGATCCCCACACCATCATTGCTGTCCTTCCTTGCTTGTCTAAGGGCTTCCACCAAGTGGCTGTTACCTCCTCATCTTTCCTCTCACCTAGCTCCCAAGTAACAATAACCTGCACCTACCCTCAAGCAGCTCCAAGCCAGTTCTTACCCTCTTACCCCTTCTTCCTCCTGCTTGGATGCTCAGGATGAATAACAGTAAGTAAATGAATAGACTCAAACATATCCACGATTATGAAGATGACGAAGGATGGGGCAACCTTTTGTTCTGGTATACATAAGGTCACCATGAGTCAGAGCTGACTGGATGGCAACTAACAACAAGAACAAATGAATGAACTAGGAATAGCTACAGACCTAACGCCTTTCTCCTTCAGCGTCTTCCCGGGTGCTGTTCTCTCCCTGTTGAATGGCCACTGGGCATAGTCCCAACCTAGTGAGCCCTCATCCTTCAGGTCTCACTTTCTCAGGAATCCCTCCACCCCAAGCCTGGTTTGGTTCTCCTGTTATACCTTTCCACAACATCCTGTACTTTCTCTCTATCATTCCTACTTAATCTGTAAATAATTCTCTCATTCCTTCTTTTTTATTGTGGTAAATATATACATAACAAAACATTTGCCATTTCAGTAATCTTCACATGTACGTTCGGTGACATTAAATATGTTCATCATGTTGTTCAACCAAGACCATTAACCATTCTTGAATTTTTCTGTCACCTTTAGCAGAAGTTCAGTGTCCGCTAAGCATTGTGTCTTCCTTTCCCCCTCCCTCCCACCTGCCCCGGTAACCACTAATAAACTTTGATCTCTGTACACTTGCCTATTCTAGATATTTCATACAAGTGGGATCATACAGTATTTATCTTTTTGTGACTGACTTATTTCACTCAGCATGATGTTTTCAAGGTTCATCCATGTTGTGGCATGTATCAGAACTTCGTTTCTCTTTACCATTGTATGTATATAGCACACTCTGTTGATTCATCTGTTGAGGGATATTTAGGCTGTTTCCACCTTTTGGCTACGTGAATAGTGCTGCAATTGAACATGGGTATACAAGTATCTATTTGCATTCCTGCTTTTAATTTTTTGGGGGTATATACCTAGGAGCGGAATTGCTGAATCATATGGTAATTCTATGTTTAACTTTTTGAGGAACCGCCA